GCTGGTTCCTACTGCCCAAGTGCAGCACCCTGCACTTGTCCGTGTTAAAACGCATCCTGTTCCTGTTAGCCCACCCCTGTAACCTATCCAGATCCCTCTGCAATCTCTCGCTCCCTGCTAGCGTGCATCATCTCATTTCAGAGTTTAAACAAAACGTCTGGACATCATAATTTCCTTTATGGAAAATTCTCTGCAATGGGAAGATCAGAAATGTTAAAATAACCAATGGTTTGAAGCCTGTTTTAAAAGACTCCTGGTCCCAATTTCAAGAGTGTACCCTTCTATTTAGGTCCTTTCACCACTAATTACTGTAGCGTCCAAGGGACCTCCAGAACAGCACAAAACATAACCTGCCTTTTTCTCATGCATTCTTCCTTTACTCCTCAAGAGACAAAAAATGCTTATGCTCAATTTTCTCTACAATGCTGGGCATGCTGTGCCATACATGTTTAATGTATCAAGGTCACAGATGCATGATCTTGAATATAGTGTTTATAGTCCCATCAAGAATAAATTCTGGCTTTACTCCAGGCTTTAGGATTCATCTGTGTCAGTGTGGGGAGACAGTTGAGTACTGTAGCATTTTCAGGTGTGGTTGTTAGGAGATCCTGGAAAGGAAATGTTTAAAATAAACAAACAAACGGGCTTCAAATGGAAAGACAATATTTAACAGGCCAGATTCCTTTTACCTTTCAAAATAACAGGGCCCCCATCTCCTCCATTCCCACCATCAGGACCTCCAAACTCTTTCCTAGGCTCACTGAGAAAAGAGTTAGCCCCTCCACCTCCTTGTCCTCCAACCACGCACACTCTTCGATGATCCACAAAATATCGGGTCTGCAATGAAGAGCGGATTTAATGCAATTTCAGTGCAACTCATTCAAATGTTATCAAAACCTCCTCCAACAGGCTGATGAATCCCCAAAACTGTAGCTGCATGCAATTTTGTCATATCTAAAACAGGTCAGAAATTACAATTTCCACTTGAAAATCAGAATCTATCACTTTGCTGTAGTTCAGGCACAAGCTAAATACAGCTCACAAAGCTGACAATTTTCTTGAAAGACATGGCATGCACAGACACACACATTTTAAAACATCTAACACAGACATCCAAGTTTCCACAGGCAAAACTCCAGAGATGTTGAAAGATCATCCTTTCTGCTCACACTTCAAAGGAAACTATTTCCAGGCTAATGAAATATATTCAAAGAAGCAAGGAAACTAACAATGACCTAGGTAGTTGGAAAGAGTATATGAAAATTATGAAAGGGGCCTAAGTTAAACATACTGGGCATGTCTACATGGTCATTAATGCGCCCTAGTTATTGCGCATTAAGTTTAGTACTTGATTAATCAAATATTAATTTAAAGTGCAGTAACTTGACTACAGAGCAGTAGTGTCAGCACACGGTTTTTTTAGTGCTGCTTACAGCTCAGTAACCTAATAACACTGTGTAGTAGCATATTAGCACAGGTTTTGTCTGGCACACTACTGTGAAGTGTTATTAGGCTACTGCACAGTAAGTGTCTTGTGTAGACACATCTGATTTTAGTCACTGAGTTTCCCCGGATTCTGACATAAGCCCCTTGAATTTGCAAGAACTCTTACAGCAGAGTGGGAGAAACTGAAAGCATTTCGTGCTTCCAGCAAGTCAGTGAAATTTGGATAACACATAGGCAGGTGTCTGGGTCTCAGTGGCAATAAGATAAAAACATAAATTGCAGTAATAGAGACAAAATGAAACAGATTTATGTACCTGATGGCTGCTAGCTCTGCCAAGTTAACCAAGACTAAATCTCACAAAGTTTGAAATTGGGCTTGCTACTATACAGACTTATAAGAACAATGTTGTCTCTGCCCTGCAGATATGCTGAGAATGTTTTTTCCTAAGTTTCCAACCCAGTTTTGTGGAGCTGAAGTTCAGCTTTTCCAGATAAACGTAAAATTCCTTGTTGCTTGTCTGAACTGAGGCCCAATCTTGATTGGAGCCCCCATATGATATTGCAATACTAATAACATAGCCTAATACTTCTGCTCATGAGGAGAAGCATCTCAAACATCTCAGAGTCGTAACAAGAGATTCAATGTGGTTCTCATAAATGAACAAATGTTTACAAGGTGGGTATAGATGGAGTTATTTTCTGTCTATGCACAGCTCTACTTCAAAAATACCATTCGTACTCCAACCTGCATTTGATACAAGAGTCAGAAAACCACCTGACATAACAACACAACAATTTAAGAACAGATTTTTCAGGAGGACTAAGTAAGTTGAGGGACACTGAACATTTCCTATAGGCTACAGTCTAACAGTTAAAGCAAGAGATTAGCAAATAAGTTCTAGATGCTGACTCCTGCTCTGCTACTGATTTGCGACATGACCTTGGACACATCTACTAAACTTCTCTGTGTTTCACTTTCCCTGTTAATAAAATGCAGTGGATAATACTTATCTACAGTCAAAAAAGGTCACAAGGTCCTTGGATGTAAAAAAGGGACAGAATTATCATGAAGCATCTGCCTATTTTTGCACGTTATGTTGAAAACAGAAGTATGTTTCAAATACTACTACCTGATCTACACATCAAAGGCGACTCAGGACAGCTCACAAAGACACTCTCCTGGACCCAGGGGGAGACAGTCTTCCATCTTCAGCTCCCTCTGTGCAAAAGTGAAGTTTATTTCCTACCTACGGGGACTTTTTACCATCTTGTACCATCTAGACTTTTCCCAGAGCCTGACGAAGGGACTTTGATCCGAAAACCTTGCAGAAAAGGACAATTTTCTTGCAATTTCCCAGTTGGTTTAATAAAAGGTATCATTTTGGAGCAAAGAGTTCTAGTTGTTTTGTAAGTACTAATAAAGCAATAAGCAGGGATATTGGTTCTCTCTGATAAAACCAAAAAATCCCAATTTTTGGATTAAAAAAAGTAACCCCAAATCCACATTTTCCCGTGATTAAACTGAAACACCACTACATGCATCTATATTAGCGGTGTTTCATTTTAAATCATGGGAAAATGTGGATTTGGGGTTACTTTTTTAAATCTGAAAAATTGGAGATTTTTTTAAATCAGAGAGAACCAGGATCCCTGGTGATAAGACTCAACTTTGAGATGGAGCCTGCCAGGTATTTTTGTTTTAGAAAAGTAGCCAGAGCATAGAAAAGACTTGGCTAGAGCTGTGACGTGAACATGAGCAGCTGAAAAATGCCCCAATTCCGGGGGTAGGGGTGGTGGAATTTACACAAACAGTCACTAGCAATCAATCCTAACACTGACATTAACTGGTTCCCCTTTGCAAACGTACTTGGCACCACCCCGTGGCTACAGCTTGAACTGCAGCTTTCAAGTTCATTTTGTCAGTGCAAGAAAATGTACAAAAAACTGTCTGCAATGTGGTATAATTTATTAAACCAACTTAGAGTTAAAATCATTTTATTAAACCAACTGGGAAATCACAAGAAAACCATCCTTTCCTGACAAGCTTTTGAGATCCAAGTCCCCTTGTCCTGCTCTAGGAAACGTACAGATGGTGAAAACTCCCTACAGGCAGGAAATAATCTTCATTTTTGCACAGAGGGATTTGGAGATTGAAGCCCATCTCCCTCCGAGCACCTTTGTTGGTGCAGGAAAACATACAAAAAAACCTGGGAACTCTTGGCTCCAACATGATACTTTTTATTAGACCAGCGGTACGGGCATTGCGGTGATGTAATTAAAAAATAAAAATAATACAAAAATTGTTCCCCCTTTGCTGAAATACAGAGCCAAAAAGCAGCCTATAAACAAAACGAGCAGGTTCCCCCCAGCAACCCATTCGACAACCAGTCTAAGTAACCTGTCCATCTTCCAGGCTGGGGGGGCGTTAAATAATAATAATGTAAGCGTTGAGATCATGATGGTTTTGAAGCAGTGACCCTCCCCCCCCTTTAAAATAATAATAATGTGCCCCCCGTCCCCCGGGACACTCCACAGGAACCCGGGCCTCCAGGCCTCCCTACTCGGTAGTGCCTGAATTCGCTTCACGGAGCCCAGGATTTACCAGCTGCTTCTCCGACATCTCCCTCTTCCTCCGCAGCGACCGGGCCTTGGCGCAGCGCGCGCAGCCCGTGGAAAAGGCCCGTGGCCGCCAGCCCCGCAGCCGTGCCCAGGCCCCCAACATGGCGCGCGCTCCCTCACGCCCCCCCGGCAACGCCCGCGCCCGGATACGCCCACTTCGGGGTCACGCTCGGCGACGCAAGGTCGTTGCGCGTTCGGCGCATGCGCAGCTCGGAAGGAAGGAAAGCGCGGGAACGGGGTGTTCTACCCCCACTCTCAGCGTAGCAGGTGCACGTAGCGCCCGCCGGGAGAGGTTACTGTGAGCAATATAAAGCAAATGAGTAGAAATATTTGCATGTTAATTTGCATATATTTTTCAGCATACATTAGCTATAATTTTGATCTTCCAATAAGGTCATTTCATATTTAACAGCTGGAAATGCTCCACCTTCAGCCACAGGTGCAGCTCAAGGCTCCTCCTCCGCCCTCCCAGTTCTTGAAGTTCCTTGCAGTGCTTGTGCCTGCTCCCCCTTAGCACTGAGCCACGTGGAGCCGAGCCTCCTCTGTCCCCTCAGCACCATGCCCTGTTATTTCCGAGCGGGCCCCAGCCAGGCGCCTTGGCCGAGCAGCTTCTAGCCCCCGCCTGTCACGCTTGTTGCCCCCCAACCCCAGAGTCCTCCGTGACCACGCAGGAAATGAGGCAACAAGGCAACAAGACGAGTCCAAACGCTGGCATCACTTTGTTCCACATCGATACATAAAAATGGACAGCACATTAAATAAACGGGCTGTTATTCGCCGTTAGAAATCTTTTAACACCCCGAAAATCATGTATAAATTAGGAAATAAAATGTACAAACTATTTCCAAAGTGCTCTTTCAGATACAGTATATACACAACATTCAAGAAGTTCTTAATGTAAGACATTGCGGACCCGATGTCACGTTGCTGCTTCGCATGGTGTTGTTAACTGTTGCTCGTCTTTTCTCTGCACTTTCAAAATCCACGTAAAAAGCCATCTCCGAGCTGGAAAGGAGTCACTGTGTTCTAGCTATCTGTCACAGTAACACTTATGGAGAAACAAAACTTACTTTTTTTTTTTTTTCCTTTTCTGTCCTTTTCTTGATACTTAAGGGTTGCAGGCAAACATCAGCAGGAAGAAAGAGAAATGAAGACTAACTCGAAACGTGAATTCCACGTCCTTGATCAGCAATGAGAAGTGCTTCTGTAGCAAGGGCACAGCTTGAACAACATTTAATAAGAAGCTATTTAGCTATCCAGGCATAAAGTTAGCCTTTCCTGGCAAAATCAAAATGTAAAGTATGACATCTATATTGGTAGGTCTTAGCTTTCAGAAGGTAAAATCTCCACAATGTAAAAACCAACAAACACGCCAATTTAGACAGAAAAGGAAAAAAACTCCATAGAGGGTATAATTCAACTCTATAGTCTAGAAGTTCCAATTAATTTTAGGCTAATATTTGCATTTAAAAAAATACATGGGACATACATTTTGGTCACTTTAACACTTTAGCCACAGAGAAACTGTTTTCTCAATTTGAATGTATCATCATTTTTATGAAGCATTAAACTGAGTAAGAACTGCATTTTTTCTTGTTCATATCGGCTTTTAACTACCATTGTGCACATACAGTATTTCTCAGTTCTCCCTCTATAGATTTTCCTCTAACAGCTGAATGTATTAATACCCTTTCTATATGCGTAATAGATGTTCCCTTTAAACAAAAATGGATTTTTCACACCGATTCTGAATTATTTCTATCAAGCTAGAGTAGGGCAAAGTAAAAGCAATGAGGAGCTGCAGAAAGTCAGTTCCTGATGATTTATAGGTGTAATGCTTTCTGGAAAGTGTAAAGAAGGCAGTGGAAGGATCAGAAATGAAAAGGGCAACTAACCACCTGCTTGGGAAATTTGGCATGAACCAAAGTGTGCTATAAAATCTGGAATAGTGTATTTCAGACAGAAATTTTGCCAGTTTTTTTCCTAAGCCAAGCACGATATGAAGCAATATTGATGTCTAGCAGACTGACAGATTCCAAAGCTCCCTTTTATTTTTTTGTTCATGATGATACATACCTTGCTTTATGTCTATGCATAAAAGGTGCCTCTAGTGATTAGTATTTTCTTGAATATGGGTTTTGATCATCTTTCTGTACCATTTACTACAAAAACGTGGAATAGTATATAGATGTATTAAAAAAGAGGTGGGTATTTAGGCCTTGTAACCATGATACAAATTTGCTGTGCAGAGTATCTTCAGCCAATTAAATATTATTTTAGTTAGTTTTGTTTTCATCTTATAGCATGGATATTGTCTCAATGTAAAGAGCATACCTGTCCCTTTACCTTAAAGTGGCAGAAATAAGAGCCATGGATTTCAGAGGCTGGCATATAAAACAGGTAAACTGCAATGCATCCAGTGAAACAAAGGTCTGTAACCTGTACTAGGATAACTGCCTGAGCACAGATGAGACTGTCTTAGTATTTTCCTGGACTGCAGAATCTCCTAGCTATTTTCCAGAACTGGATGCACAGAACTGTGATCAAATGACCCCTAAAGCTATTCAGAAACATCAAGAATGGGGAGGGAGGTGGGGGGGGGGAAACAAACTTCTGCATTGTAATCAACATACAGTACTAGACACAGCACCAAATATCAAACCATTAAAGCATTGTCTTGTTACCAGTAGTGCACTGCTTCATATCCAGCATGAAATGAACACTGTTCACATACAGACGCTGCTTTGTGCTAAGGGATAACCAACATATTACAATGAATCAGCCTGTACATCCAGTTCAAAAGATGGATATACTATTGAAATGAATCTGACACAGGAATATGTCCCTTTATTGCTGGTAGTTTCCATATTGGCCCTGTTAAAAATGAAAAAATAAGATGCGTTAGAAAATATAATTTCTGAGGTGGACATACAGGGAGTTGTGAGAAATGATTATCTTTTGGCTCATGAAACTTGACAGGCTCACTACTGAACTGCCGATGCACTCGCACAGGATCCTCCAGTCTGACAGTGGATCTAGGTCTTTGAACTCAGAACTTTTCTTGTGCACAAGATAAGGCCACATAGCTGTTTATGGCAGGAATCAAAGTAATTTACCTGCTCGTAGCCATAAGGCCTCTGTTGTTGAGCAGATGGTCCTGTCTGAGAAGCTCTATAACTTCCATACTGCTGCCCCTGTCCCTGTTGGTAGCTGGAATACTGTGACGAGGCTCCCTGTGCAGGACCTGAGAAAACAACAAAACTTATCACCAAAGTTTTATTTACCAAGGGAAAGCCTTGTGGTTAACAGTGTACAGGTACACCCGCTATAACTGTAGTCCAGTATGGATAAGCCAAGCCAACTTTTTAAACCATTTGGCTAAGAGACCGGTAAATGTATAGCTGTAGTGGCACAGAACTCAGTGCAGGCTGCAAAATCTATCAGAGTAGCTGGGTAAATATCTGCCCTACCCCAACACATTTATATGAAAGCTTGCAAACACAAGACCTGACAACAAATGTTTCCTTACCATATCCTTGTTGTTGTCCTGGGTAGCTTTGCTGATTTGGATACTGCTGCTGTGAATACGTTTGCTGTTGCGCAGCTCCCTGTTGGTATCCTGCCTGTTGCTGGCTATACTGAGAATTTCCTAGAGAGAGGAGGAAGGCTTTAGTTTATCTGTAGGCAAAACAGCTGTCCTAGGTTTGACTGCACTGAAAAGAAGTGATAGCAATACGTTGATATGAAACCTAGGAAAGAGTATTCCTTTAAAATCAGTCTCCTCCTGTTTTTAACTGATCGGAGATCAGAGATGTATTTCTCATTGTTTTAGTCTATTTGAGGGGGACATGGTGCAAGAACATAATATTCCTTAAGAAATGAATGTCCATCTGATCTTGCTACATCCCAAACACCAGCAGCTCCCTTTTCCTCAATTTTAAATATCAGCCCTCCATTAACCAGATATATAAATGCTAAAAATGTAAACAAAAATCCTTTGAACAAAGCACAATAGATTTTCTTTGAGCACATTATTAAAAGACTGCAATAATCCAAATGTAAAACACAGTGATGTCAAGAGAAGAAGTCTCTCCCAGCAAAGGGAGAGCTGAAAGTTTCTCCTTTGGCTAGGTGACTGGCAGGTGTCTGGTAATAAACCAGTGGGTCACGGGGCTGAAGACTTCTCCTGGACCGCAATGGGTCTGTTAAGTAGGGAGCAGAAATTCTTCACCAAGTGGAAAAATCTCCCAACAACCTTCTCATATTCACATCTGAGCGTTTGGGGACTTGGTCCTTCCGTGTTCTTCCCTCACCTGCACTGGAACGGCCCTTCTCTAAATAAGCAAAATACCTAACACTGTAGCAATGCCTGGATAGAGAAGCCTCAAGCAGGGACAAGAGAAGGTATGGATTGTTAAGAGCTCTCTTCCCAAACATCAGAAAGGAGGAGCGGGCCTGGTTGGCCTTCTATTTTTCTGTTTTAGAGAAATTATTTTCTCTCTCTCAAAAAGCAGATCAGTCATTTAGAATTCATAGAACCAAAGACTACTCTCAGATACACACTGCAACTCCCATATACGTCAATGGAAGTGATGTATTTACCTTTGTAGCATAACTTGATCTATGAGGAGCAACTTAGAAACAGGAAACTAGTCTGTATATGTGATCAGTGAGAAAGCAGACTTCATTATCATGCTTCCATGGGGTTATTTGTAAAATGCAGTTGTAGGCTAAAAAATAACGTGATATTGTACAAAAATATCACGATGGGTATCTTGATAGATATCTACTAAAATGACTTAGAGTGCTTACCATTTTAGTTGTATTCTGTGGGATGCAATGCATTTTCATTTCTAGAATGTATTTTAAATCTGTTTTACTCTTTGGAAAGGGATTTTGCTTTTCAAAAACATGCAAAGTGCACTGGCCTTGATTTGTAATTGGTTGATATGCAAATATGCATATATTCCATTTCTTGTGGAGCTCACAGCAAGTCGGAACGGATCAAAAAGAGCTGTTTATCAGTCTACATCTCTGAACATACAAATAAAAGTCTGCTCCAAAATGAGTAACTTTCTAATCAAAAACCCTCCCAGAGGTAAAAGAGCAGACTCAACATTAGGCTTCCCAAGTAGCTCTCAGTTAATAATAATGACCTTTATTCATATTTTCACAGAAACTAAGATATCTATTTGCTATTGGTACCTGTAATTTTTATTGGAATTGCTAAAACACTTACATGGGAAATCCAATTTGCAATATCCTGAAATAACAAAATGAACTAAGGCTTCACAGTGGTGTTTCAAACTATTTCTCTCCACAAAGGTTCAGGCAATGGGATCATTAACTTGTCTGAAAATTCTCCCACTCCTTTCTGGAATAAACATTATGACACTTGCTATGAAATGACTAATTTAGCATTACATACAAAGAGAAAAAAAACCATCTCTGGGTAGCATTTAAGTAGATAGTAGTAAGCAGTAGATATACAATACAAAAATGAAGTCTTCCCAAGCAATCAGCATGAGGAAAGTCTATGCTGTGGCCAATGGATGACTGGCAAAAATCACACTGGTGGTGCTTTAGGTTCCTAACATTCAGTGGGAATTAGGCATCTCACATGCCCTTTAAAAACTCTTTCCTGTACGATTATTTCTCAACTCCTCTGGCATGAATATACAGATTTTTGTATTGTATTACCCGTGCTCTGAATGGCCAAAAATAATGCCTCCAGCAAAAGATGCCTGCAGCTTTCTCCTTCCACTAAACCCAACAAACACTGATATTTATATGAAAGTGAAAAGCAGTAAATAAATGCCATTGCAGGGTAAGGCACTAGTAGTGCTCTTACCTGGTCTGTTTAACCTGTGGCATTTTGTAAGATCTTCTCGGTCTGTCTATTTCTGTGCCTTGTAGTTGTCTTAGTGAGGGTTTGGAGTGGATGACCTTATAGGGATTTATAGGGACCTTCAGGTGAACAGCTGCTTAAGAACACAGGAATCTCGATATGATGGCCTGGGAGGTCCCTTCCAATGCTGTGGCCAGTACAGTGATGAAGGGGAAACTGCAGGTCTTTTGCTATTAACAAACTCTATGACTTGTTTACTTTACTCCTCTCTCTCTCCTTTTACTTTTCCTTTTGGCTATGTAATGCTTAGCAAGCATCATACCCCAAAATAACTCCTGTATATTTGTGTTTCTTTTCAGTTTTGAAACACAGTGAAGCAAAAATATTAGTCACTCAAGGGAGAACAGCTTTCTTAACCATTACACATCTGAATATGTAATTATGCATTTGTTAAGAACAACCTGAAAATGGTTCTTGTTAATGCAGTAACAATGATGGGATCTGGTTCTACAGCCTTTTCTCATTTAGGTAGTCCCTCTTATCTAAATAATGGGTTCCTCTTTACAGTATGCTTCTAGCTCTTCTCAGAATTTGCTGTACTTGCAGTTTTTAGCATCACCTGAGAACTCAGAAACACTCAGCTTTGTTCTGTTCTCACTTACAAGTCTGAAGCTACATTCATATAAGACTTTAGGCCATGGTTTACAGAAGATGTCCAATGAGTTGAACAGTCAAAATGAAAACAAAGGCTCTGAAACTAACTCCTTTCAATTCCCTTTTTCTCAGCTTAAAAAGTTTCCACTTACAGCCACCAGTTATACCTGCTCTAAACCAGTTTTTCTAAATCCAGCATGAACTTTATTTTCCCATCATGACCTTTGACTTAAATTAATAATTTAATAGCAACTGATTTCAACTCCATTTAAAACCAAACAAGAATTTCTTATAGCTTATTTTCTTACAAGTGGAGTTAATCCTGATATTCTGATTACTATTTTTTCCCACAGCTATTTTGTCCACTGCTATAATTCCACATTGTTTGACTACACCTGCCTTGCTATTAGCAAGGGTCATTTTTGTAGTGCACACAAGGTGTATGTATGAACTACTGCTGATTCCCAAAAGGCTGCATAGTCATGGCAACATAGCTATACTGCTTAAAGCTGTTACGCCCAACTACATTCTATTTAATTTTGCTCTATTGAATAATGTGCAGTTTAGGAGGATCTCTCAATCTAGGAGATAAACAACCCTTAATTCTGCAGAAATTACATAAAACAGCTTTTACATTTTCCCAAGTATAAAGTACATATGTGGGCAAAATCTTTGGTTTGCACAGATTGCCAATATATCTTCTCACCTCCTTCATAGTAATGTTGTGTAGAGTCCTCAAATGACCTGTCATAGCTCTGCTCAGTGTAGGATGACTGCTGATATGCATAATCACTATGACCTGCAAGAAACAGAGAAAATGGAAAAGGTTCATCTGATCCATGCATAATTACATGCCTTTATATATATAAAATATGTATTGCACACTATGCATACACACATATTGACTAAAAGTCATATGTTTACTAATTAGGCCAGAAGCAGCAGAGAGCTCTGAAGAAGGCTAGCATAAAGTGGATAGGCTGCTGATGAAAAGGTTATTCATTTGCCATGTCTGAAGCAGTACTTCATGATTAAAGAGGTTGTGTACCAGTGCACGTCTGTCCTCTTTTCAGCACACAGTTTGCATGTTAAGATCCTGCAATGATATGGGTACACAAACCTACATACAGTGGAGTGGGACCAGGATTTTTTGGCATGTCAGGTTGGAAACAAATCTTAAGTGTACAGTATGTTTGGTTTATGTTAATTTCTCTTTTATCGCTTGGAGGTGGTAGTTGTGCAATTCCACACCCTACCAGGCTCTGTTGCATCAGTAGCAGTTACTATTGCTCAAAAGAATTACCATCTGGATAATATTGCTGGTTCATAGGCTCTGACGAGCCTTGTCCATGGCTGTACTGTTCACTGTAATATTCCTCCTGCCCCATGTACTGTTGAGAGGAACCTGCAAACCACAAAAAAAAAAGAGAGTGCGCAAGCGCGCATATTAAGTGGGCCATAAACATAAGCAATGCTTTTTCATAAGCAAAGTATTTTTGGAGGGGACAATTTTTTCATCTGAAGAAATCACTGAGCTTTACATATTTAGAGCCGTGTCAAAAATATACTGCTCACAGACCAAGAAACTAGCTAGAAAGAAGTTAGATTAAATTAGAGTAGTTCCATAATGGTAAAACACCTACACAATGACACCAATCAGCGATCTGGATGATGGGGTGGAAAGTAACCTGTTTAAATTCGCTGATGACACCAAAATTTGGGGGGAGGTGAGCACGCTCGCAGGGAGGGAGAGATTGCAGAGGGATCTGGATAGGTTACAGGGGTGGGCTAACAGGAACAGGATGCGTTTCAATACGGACAAGTGCAGGGTGCTGCACTTGGGCAGTAGGAACCAGCAGCACACTTACACAATGGGGAACTCCCTACTTGAGAGCACGGAGGCAGAAAGAG